CGAGGCGCCTGGCCGAGCAGCTTCGGTCGCTTCCCAAGGCGGAGCTGAAGAGGCGCATTCAGGGTTTAGGGTTTAAGGGTTTATGGTTTTGGGGTTTTGGGGTTTAGGGTTTTGGGTTTAGGGGTTAAGGGGTTTAGGGTTTAGGGCCCTGAGTGTGGGTTTGAGGTTTTGGAGTGATTCAGGGTTTGGTGTGAGGACAGGTGTTTAGGGTTTAGGGTTGAGGTGTTTAGTGTTTAGGGTTTAGGGTTTGGGGTTTGGGGTTTGGGGGTTTTGGCGTTTAGGGTTGTGCGGTTTGGGTTTCACATGCACCGTTCTTCACTTCATGTCCAATCTTGATGTCAAAGATCTACTGGCTGAGGCGCAATGTCTTGGCAAGTCCTTAAACCTGACGAATTTCCATCCGTTCCTTTCAGAGTAGACTTCCTCCCTCCATCCAGGAATGACTGGGCTTGGAGTCTTCTCGTATGTCGCGTCGTACAGATTGTCACACGGTTTCGAAGCCTGTAGTTGACGGCTACTTGGAGGTTCATGGGAGCGCGGAAGGTCAGAAAAGTTTGGACTATTTTCTATAGATCTTGCCAGGGTTCGCAGGGGCAGCTCCGTGCGGCATCCAGATTTTCATTGATCAGATATTAGGAACCCAAAGATGACTTAATTAAGCATAAGCATTTTATGGGGATTTTCCTACCTTATTGGGCTTCATTATAAGGGGGTTTATATCCCTATCCTAATTATTGCTTATGTGCTTTCTGGGGCCTCAAGCTAGGACTAAACCCTAAACCCTAAACCAATTTCTTGACTTTTCCGTTCCATGGTTTCCGCTCCAAGGCCTTCAGGAGAGCACCTTCAGCCCAAAGCGCCCTCATATAGACCTGGGTTTTGGGGCCCATTATACCATAATCATAATAAGAAAGCCTTCAACATCGCAATAATTTAGGCCCCTCTATAGGGTTTTGGGGCCCATTATACCATAATCATAATAAGGACCCCCNNCCCCCCCCCCCCCAAATAGCATTTATGTAGGCCCCTACGTGACACTCGCAGAGGCTCAGGTAGGAGGCTCAAGGTTTCGGCCCTTGGAGTTCTCAGCGGAAGATTCGGGTTTAGGGTTTAGGGCTAGGTTTTAGGGTTTAGGGTCTACTCTGTACTAGCCCGAAGACCCCGGCTACGAACTTTGACATCTGAAGCAAAGCTAGAAGCGCTATAGGAACCGTGCTGCTATCGTCCTATACCCGGGAGACCCTATCCGTAGACCCACTGCTCTTCAGAACTGAAAGGCATCACCATGCATGCACCCCCGAGGCCATCATGAGTTTAAGGTTAGGTTTAGGGTTCAGGGTTTAGGGTTTAGGGTTTAGGGTTTAGGGGTTTAGGGGTTTAGGGTTTAGGGTTTAGGGTTTAGGGTTTAGGGTTCCTTTATAGGGTTCCTTAAAGGGGTCTATAAGGATCATGCATGCACCCCCGAGGCCATCATGANNATGGACCACCCCAACATCATCAAGCTGTTTGAGTCTTTTGAGGACCACAGGCCTGGATGTCCTGAGAGTTGAGAGATCGTTTGCCCTGCCCTCTTTTCTCAAATATGTATGGGTATGTATTGTTACACATAGAAAGATTTTCTGACCCTTACCAGCACTTGCAGAGCCTATCGTGCGTTATGAAGCCTGAATAAGCCAAGCTGTACAATCAACATAAGCCCTTACCTTCAACCCCACCCCAAACCCTTGCCTTAACCGCTGAACCCTTCTACACCCTTATGGAACCTTTTACACACGCTGTAAAGCGTACCCCCAAACCCCCTACAGAACTCCTGAAGGAACCTCTATGACAGCTAAACCCTGAGTCTTTAAAGGAACTGTAATCGCGAACCTTTTGCTACATGCAACCTTAAACAGGAACCCGCAAAGGACACCTTAATAGGGACCGTCACTCGAACCCTGAACAGGAAGCCAAAAAGGA